GAGGGAGGGAGGGAGGGAGGGAGAGAGAGAGAGAGAGAGAGAGAGAGAGAGAGAGAGAGAGAGAGAGAACACAAAGATTTATTCTTTCAACATGGCCACATTGGGAAGAGAAACAAAGAAGTCATGGCCAGCTCTTCCTAAGTCTTAACCACTGAGCCACGGTTCCTGCACATCCTCCCAAGTCTATTCATGAGATTTAGGTTTAAACAGAGAGCAAGTGGTACTCATAGCTAAACAGTCCTGGTCAAGATGTGGTACTGCCCACCAAAACCACAGCATCTGGGCTCTAGTCTCTTCTACAAGGTCCTTCAACAAGTTGTCAGAAAGTGTGAAGTCTCTTTATGAGAAACAAGGCCAGTTCTCTGGCTGGCTGGCTGGCTGGCATCAGGCTTCAGCCTTTTCCTTCTCCTAGCAGGAGGCTCTTGGAGGGAAATTAGCTTGTTTCTATAGCTTCATAGTTAAAGGCAAAGGCACAGGTGTCTGTCCGTAGTCTGCCATACTCTATCTGTTACCAGAATGCCAGAATTCATGCCAGTGAACAGAGACAGCAATCAAGCTTTCCAGCTTTATTCAGGAAGGAACACAAACACAATACCACAACCAGAACACCACTTTCCAGAACCATCTCCACTTAGCATATTTTATAGGGAATTAGAAGAAAGGCAAGGTAATCATTCTAAAGTTGAGTCTTGGCCCTCTAGTCTGGTAACCAACACTCTCCCAGAGCCATTTCATGTCCTTGCTTCTTTCCTTCTTTCTACACATCTTCCTCATTAATACCCCCAAGTAGGGGTTTCCAATTACCATGGCTACTGAGTCTCACATTCCCCACAAGGAACCATATAATAAAGTCAAAGGTTGTCTCAGAAGAAGCAAACTTCTAGAACTGTGTAGCTATTTACAATGTATGTGTCTGGATTTGGTTTTTACAAGACAAAGCATAAATGTGTCACTATGATATAAAAATAAGCACATCTATTTGTCCCTTTGTCCCCTGCCATTTTCCACTGTCAGTAGTAACTTTTATATCTGTAAAGCTTGTATCATATGGAGGATGACAACCTGCCACTATGGGCCCCATCCAGTCAATTGTTAGTATGGCTTTTCACCAGTAGTGGGGCTTTGGCATAAAGCTGTGCATATTAGAGCACACGATATGCAACAGCAAACAGTTATGCTGACAATAAATAATAAAATTGAGAAGGATGTTTCTTTTTCTCATCAGAAGGTAAGAAAAGACACATCAAAATTGAAGAAATCCCTCTCCCCGAGATGATTTTATGAACGGTCTTAACATTTCATTAAATCTAAACAAGTTTTAGTACATCCTGTCAAAGTAATGCAATTTTTGGCAGGTGAGAAATTTGTCACATCTCTTTCCTTGTCACAGTGTTTACATATAATCAAAACATTAAAACACAGGCTCCGACAATTCACTTCAGCATCGTAGAAATTCCTCTGATACCTGAAGAAAGATCAGAGCCTTAGATGAACAAATATGGTGCCTTTATTAAAGAACTCATTATTCATGATGTTATTTCAAATTATTCTTTTGTTTGGCACCTTGGGTGGGGTTGGATGCTATATGCTCTGGGCAATGCACATTCAGATTTTTCTTTCCTGTCTGTATCAATAGAGTGAGTTT